CATTTTTTGAAAAAAAAAAAAAAAACTAGCTGTCTCGCCATGTTGAGCAATGTTGTCAGAATCAACAAAACCACAGACCTCAAGAAGGTGTGCAAATGTTTACTAATGTATCTAAATTTAGTCTAAAGATGATTTTTTTTCTTGGAATACAGTGAAAGTCTGTAGGATCTGTAAAGGGTGCTACAATATTTATCTACTGGCTTCAATAAGCCTGACTTTAGCCAACTTCCATTTTCCTATCTGTTCATTACTTACTCTCCTTGCATTCCAGATGACTATGACGTCCTCTGTCTGCCTTTTACCTTCCTGATTGTATTTGCTGGCCTGCTTTCTCATTCCTGCTGGCTCTTTGACAAAGAGAGGCGATCTTTAATCCCTTTCTGCAATGTGTTTAAGTTCTTCTATCGTATTTGGTCCTGTAGTCTGTGGTTTTACCCACAGACTGAGTTGCAGAACTGAAGGGCAGATGTCTTTGCAGAAATAAAACAATACTTGTTAGCTGTCAACATTTCAACAACAACACAAACCTCTGTCAGCAACTGCAAAATTAATATTTCCCCTAACAATAATAATATATCATGTGGCACTGCAAGTAGTAAAGGTTAAGGTTGGTGGATACATGAGCATATCTATATTAAAGTTTCCCTTTTTATAACTATGACCATGATCTTCCCTTGACCATAGTAAGTGTACTTTGTAGAAAAAAAATGAAGTTTTTGTCATTTGTGCTGAGCTGAAAATGTCGACAAGATTAAGAGACCTCTCAAGTGTAAAATCTATTCTATTTCTGTTACTATGGGCAGCACAAATGGCCAAAATGACTTTGTTGTTATTGGACAATTTAAATGGCAAACATATGTTTGAGATTTTTCCAAGGCGTTTCCATGACCCAGCATGAGGAACTTATGTAATATCATTCCTTGATGTAAAAAAAAAGATCTTCTAACTTCTCAGTCTTCCAGCAGAAACATTGAGGCTACATTCTTTCTTTGTGAAATAAGCATTTTAATCTTACTATGCCTGATTAATACAGAAATGGGTTGATAAGCGCCTGACTGACCCCAATTTGCTTCCTCTAAACAAAACAAGCTCATATGTGTGTGTAGCCTATAAGATGTTTAGTTGAAGATATAAAAACAATCCTGAGCTTATTTACTCGTGGAGAGTTAATGAGACCACATTCCAGAGTGTTTAAACTAAAGTGACCTGGAGAAAGACCTATTTTCTGAACAAATATGCTCAAATATTTTACCTGTGGGATTTTTTATGACCACTTTCTGCCCTCTTAGTTCAAACTTTCTCCTTCCTTCCATCTCTTGGCCAAGGTCGATTTATATGAGAGACATGATTCTTCAAATAAATAAACATCTGGCAGACCATGCAGAAGCAACAAGTTTAAAAAACAAAAAAAATGCTGAAACAATAAGTCAATGAACATCTGACTGACGAGGAATAATTCTAGACCTGCACAAAATGCCGATAAGAACATGCTTACATCTCCATAATGACCATGCTAACATGTTAGCAGGTAAAATAGCAAAGCATTCACCATATTCAAATGGTGGCTATTTCCTTTGGCTAGACATAAAATGTTGTAATTAACATTTCACTGCTTCTAGATTGATGAGTGACTGAAAAGACAATGAAGAGTAAAAATCATCATAAGCTAGAGAAGGACAACAGCTAATGTTTGTATATAACCATTTCTTAGGTAGACTTCATGTTTGATACATGATATGAAAGGAGAGGCATACATTTCGAGCTAATAGTAAGCTAGAAATAGCAATGCTAACATTGCTGTTGTGACTCAATCGAGCATACCCAATGAGTTATCAAATATCCAAAATATGGCGTGATGTTCCTCAAGAATTTCGTTGTTCACTAGAGGTGGAGATTCTTATCTGAGACTTTGAATAGATTCATAACTTCCAAAAAACTAATTTTCACACTTAAATATAATAGAAATCAAGTCTATCCTCTGAAAACAACTCTGTGAGTCATGACTGTCTACAATGGGTGTAACACCCGAGTCCCGCTGTTTGTGATGTTTTCAGAGTTTTCCCCGAGTCCTATCTTCAGTTTGTTTACATCGCCAGGACAGCCGGCTGACTCCTCCCCTCGCAAATAAAAGTTGTTTAATTGAGGGACTACAGAAAAGAAGAATAACATACTGTACTCACTGCTTAACTGCGTTTCTAGATCACGCTCATTTCGGGTAAATTTACATGCAGTGTGAAGCTATGAGCATAATAAAGATCGCTAGCATTAGCATGCTAACACAACAATGCAGCGCAAGTTGTTTTGGTTTCATGCTGGTGGTCATCTGCTGGATCAAAAAATCGCATATAAAGCCTTTAACTCAGTAGAATGCCAAATGGCGCAGCAAGACGTTCAGCCAGTCTCACAGATGACTGGAGTGGATCATGTATCCAGAATCGTTTTGAAATCAAAAAATAGATACTTATTTGTATTGTACTCATTGTATTTCTTTGGATGGAAGAGGTTAAATGATAACAATTTGTCACATTCCCTTTTTTCGAACCAAAAAAAGATTAGAAAGAATTTCAGCTTCTTACGATGACAAAGAAAAAGGTGAACTGTAGAAAGTGTATGTAAAACCAGTTCAAAAATAGAGCTTCTGCAGGGTACACCAATTAAAGTGCAGGGACCAGAGGAGAGTTTCTTCATGCTTTATTTCTCAACAACTTGATTCCACTTGTGACAAGCATAGTAGTCAGATGATTTAACTTCAAATAATGCATCTATCCGAGTCACCATAGAGTTGTCAGCCTGTCATGCAGCTCAGCAGTGTGAAGCAAACAAAAGGGGTGAGCATGGCCTGCTGCAGGCCTCTTAATTGCTCAGGTGTGGCCTGACTGGTTAAGACTAGGCTTAAAGGGGAAGTGGGATCTGCAACATGAACTGTGTGAATATTGTGAATGCTACAATTTGAAATTCAGGTAATCATTTCCCTCACAGAGGTGCTAGACGGAAATGGCTAAAAAGAAGGGTCAAAACAATCATTGGGAGGCATCTACCTGGATCCAGTTACATCAGTAGAAAGCTCAGAAGGCTACTTGTTGTGATATTTTAGCCCGGACCAAAGTAGTGGACTGACACTACCATCCTTGACGGCTACAGTGTTAGCAAGGCTAAAATTGCAAAACATGTGCCTGTTTGAGCCTGTCAAATGTTGAGATATTCTTTGTTTTTTTTGTCTATCATCTTTGTTTGTATAGCTTTGAGCTCTTGCCCTCTTACTTTGCCCTCATAGTAAATCTCCCTAACTCATCATGACCTTGTGTGCCAGAGGGCATGTGGTTGTAAACACAGTGAAGCTATTGATGATCTTGGTCACCTAGTTTTGCCCATCTGCGTCATATTACACCACTACATACTTATGTGACGTTACCCTTGTGTGGATTTCTAACTTTAGATGTTGAGTCGTCCCAGGACACATAGTCCTAACCTGTTAACGGATCATGTGATTGAGAGAGCTGCATAAAGACACAGTAGAACTGGGTAAATGTTAAAGCAGCACTGAATTATAAGACCAGCAGGAGAAACACTCTCTTGCTTCAAAGCACTTCGCAAGGAAACAACTGCAATCCATGGTTATTTTCAATATCCATTAATCTGTTCATTTGTTTTCCAATCATGGATATTAGAGCATTAATCTGATATTACACATCCAGGCAAGTTTGGTATTAAAATAGAGCACCACTGTGTCTAGAACGGTAAAAGGAGCTTTGTCACATTTGAGAAAAAAAACCTTATTTTGTAATAATGATGTCATTAGTGTTAAAGCAGCTTTAGACTTACAAATTCAAGTTTATGAGGATGTTTTTCAGGCAGGGAAGTCCCAACAAACATATATGTTACCATTTGTACATTTTGGGAACAGTTGGCACATAGAAGAGAGTTAAAATGTAGATAACTCTGCCTCTGCTGAGCTGCTGTGTTATAAAATGTTGAACATTTGGGATTGATTTGTTTAAACAACAGTTATAGTCAAAAGTACATGTTAATAACGAGGTAATATTGAGTAGATCTGCTGCTACCTTTTTTAAATGATAACTTAAATCAAAATTAACCAGTGATGAAAGTTGTCATTGATTTAACTTATGACCAACCATGTGATGATTGACTTTTAGAACTTGCATCAGTTTCTTAAGCCTGTACGGAGTATTTTGAACTTCCTCCTCTTACATATCAGACACAGCACATGAGAACTGACATCAGTAGAGCAACTTATCAATGTGAGAATAGCAGCTTTCTCAAAGCCTTAGGACAGCTAATAAGCAAGTTGCCTCAGAAGTTATTCACACACTCCAACAACATTGTATCGCAGGGCAGGGAGAAAGGGACTTAACTCTGTGTGAAAACAAAGTATACCAAGTGTTTACATGACACAGTAGTGGTTTTAGGCTCTGTGGGGTTTATTCTTGGAGCTCTTTCATGCTGTCCCCTGCTGTGTGAGTGTGTTAGGAGGAACTATATTCTCACACTGTCTCCTGTTGTGAAACCTCAACTCGGACTGTTTACAAGTCTTAACCTCTGGCTTAAAGCAACTGAGACCAAAGAGATGTCCGATTTATACTTCCTCTGCAGCTATCTCAACATGCATGCTGTAGAGCTTAATATAGACTATTAAAGCATGCAGACTGCTGATATCACATATCATGGACAGCCAGTGCACACATCACCTGGCGCACGTTCTGTCACGTCCAAGCAGACGCACTGCGACTTTTTCACCATTTCACCTTGTCACCGTTTCTGCTGGAGCTGAACCAGCTTTCCTGAATCGAGTGCAAATGAAAACACTCGCATTTAGCCTTCCGAGTTGCCAAGCAGATAATAGCAACGTGCACCTCGCGTTGTCATCCCATGCACCCCCATCCGCCCCCTCCCAGGCTGGAGGTATTTTGGGGGAGGCTGTGTCAGCATGTCTGAGTACACCGTCCTCTACTCTCTGTGTCGCAAGAGAAACGCAGACTTACCCACACACAACCGGCCTGCGATGCCCTCACGTGTGAGCAGCACGTCGGTTCGTAGGCGACACCGTTCATGCATTCATTCGTATCTCGTTTCACACAGCAGCAGAACTCAACTCAACGCTGCAGCGCATTCATGCAGCTGGAACCGAGTGACAGGCTGCAGGGGGGGGGGAGGCAGGAGGGTGGGGGTCTGTGACAGGTCCAGATTCCGACAAATAGCAGTCAGTGCAGCATTTAATCTAGAATTTTTTTTTTTTTGAACAAATAAATCAGTAGTTTATAATCCTTCGAATACAAGCGTCCGAATATAAAGTCTGGTTCTAGGTCGTGTACAAAGGTATTTATTCATAACTAATCACAGGCTCTGTAGAACCTCTTCTACCAGATAATCAGTTTTATTCTATCAGCTTTTTATTCATGTTTTTAGATCTATGTTTGTTACTTGCTGTATCCTATTAATGTTAGCACGCAGAGGATTTTATAGTTTAATGCAGTCATTTTGTGTTTCTTTTATTTTTTTCCTTTAGTTTAACCATTAGGAGACCATCGCATTTCATTAGTGTAGTTGTATTTTTGCGAGTCTTACACTGCAGACTATGTACTCTGTACATAGAGGAGCAATCCTAATAAGGACTGCAGGAGTTTAATTGAAAATATCAAAACCAACACCATGACATTTCTCTTACTTTCATTTCTCTACTTTCATCACGCTTGCCATTAAGCTGTTATTTTTCATTTCCTTATTTCCATTGTTTTGTTATTGAGAAGTTATATAATTTATGAGAAACTGAGCTATCAAAGAGCAAAGAACAATAGCTTGCTTATAAGAACAATTGAACCAAAAATCTGTTTTATGGACACATTTAGGTGCATGGGTAGTATCTCCAATAAAATAGATGAGTCATCCTATAATAACAATGATATAAGATTAGATTAGATTAGAAAACTTTATTGATCCCCAGAGGGAGAGTTTTTCTGAGTGACGATCCGCCGCCAGCACCGAGGGGCCACGCGGCCTCGGGTGCGGGGTGCAGGTCTCATTTGTCACCTGGTCACTTTACACACACAACAAACAATATTGACAGTATATCACAGTAAACAAGTAAATAAGTAACAAACACCACTGAAACCATAGCATTATTTGTACCTCTAAACAGATTCAATCTCATTTTGGAGTCCAGTCCTATATGCTTACCTATGGCTATCCCTCTTTTAACCCAATTACTCAAGTTTCACATTTTACTCAAGGAACAACCTCATGACTCCTCACAGAGGTGCTTATGACATGAAAGAGGGTAACTTGAATGGAAGAACTGGCCAAACAAGAAGTTGAAAGTGGAATAAAGGAAGAAGAAAAGAGCAGAATAAGATCAGAAATAGTGATATTGTACATTAAAATGATGCTGTGAATAAATACATACATACTAGTTGACAGATATACTGATGTAGCCTATCATTATATGATTATCTTGCAATATACAGTATCAGTCATCACAGAATCTCTGTATCATGATAGAATCGTTAGCATGGTCCACATAAACTGTACAAGCAGAAACTGCAGGAGCTAGGAGAAATAAGGGTAACAAGATCCAATTCCTCTTTGTCATAATCCTTGGTAGCAGGGTGTATAGAGCATTCGTGGTATTGAGAAACACTGCTACATCTTCAGCAGGCGTCTCAGGTGTTTCACACCTATTGTAAATATACAGCATCACTGATATTATGTATACTTAATACACCCTGGCTGTCTTAAAAAAAGGGAAAAGATCATCTCTGAGGTGATAACAGGATACATTGTTTCAAATAAATGTATTCAAAGAGTGCAGATCACTTAAGATAAAAGAAATTGATTCTGAAGTCTTGGAGTACTAATGGGTGTTTGAAATTAATTATCTGAGGATAATCGATTGACTGTGGTAATAAAGGAAGAATTGAGCTGTGAAAAGCTTATTACTTTTGTAAAAGCATTGCAAGATAAAAATATCCAGCTTCTTAAGTTGTGACTGTTTGACAACCTGCCAGAAAAGGCATTAGACAACGAGAGAAAACTTTAAAATCCTTTAGTTAAAAAGATGTTTAAATATTGTACCAGAAAACAAGTGAGGCAGCATTTGATCCAGTCCATCAGATCTGTGATGGCCAAGTGTGAGGACACAACCCTTTTGGAAATCTTTCAAGCAACCACAGCACAGCCACTCCTCTTTCTCTGTTTCCAAAAGCTCCTCAGTGCACATCCAGCATGATGTATATACTCTGTGATCAGCAACATTCAGTAAACAATAAGGCAAATGTATCCTCATGGTCTGCCTCCAGAGAACAAAATCATTCTGGATTTACATCATGGGTCTAAGATATCGACTGCAGTAAGGTGATAAGATTGACTGCAAAGCAAGAAATTTGAGTATCTCTCCAAATAACTGTTATCACTGCTCATGTTCCTGCGCTTTTTCTACCACCATCTCCTTCAACATTAAACAGAGAAAAACAACAACTTTGCAGATCTCTAACTTGTTGGTGTCTTTGTGTGTGTACGTGTCAGCTTTTAAAGAGGATATCCACCAGATGTTTGTTGTCCTCCTCCACATCCAAAACCCACGTGGATGAGTCTCTCAGGCCTCCCCCGTTCAGCTCCTCTGTACCAGAAACTCCCTCCGGACCCACTCCAACCACACCTAGATGTAGATTTTGGCTTCTCTCTTCAAAATCTCACTCGGTGCTGTATGGAGACTTCACCGGGTGGAGTAACTCAATGACCTAGTTGTGCAACTGAGGGTCAGATGAATTCCTGATGAGTGTTAAGTGCCAGGGAAAATTCTTGGTATCAGCGTGTGGGTGCAAAATGTCCCTTTTCACATTCTGAAAAATCTATGTGACAACCTGACCTACATAATTAAAATCCTGCAGTTCCCCTGAGTATGTTTCTCATAACGTAACTGCACAGAAGATTAACCTCTTGCCCTCATTTTCTACAGAAAAGTAAGTAAGGAGGGGGGGGGGAGTTCTCGATTAATTGTCTTGATCAAACACCACTGTACATGCAAAAGAACATACAGTACAATAGTCAAGCAGCTACTTTAGTCCATATATGATTCAAATCATCTGATTAGATTTAAGCGCTTGAATCTCAAATGGCTGCATTCCAAAGGATCCAGGGGTTATTGCTTAGTGTGTTTTTTTTTTGTTTTTTTTTGGGGGGGGGGGGGGGTATGTTACATAACCAGATTAGGGTAGTTGGTTTAAGGCTTGAGGGTCACTGTGGCCTGATTAGTACTTTAGCTTCAACATCTAAAACCTGAATTGCCCAAAGCAGCTTCCCAAACACAGAAATTCCAGCCTGAGCTTCTGTTCTGTGTGAGGGTTTCCAGGCCACCTGGGAGCGATCCAAGTGAAGCTTTATGGTCCTTTTCTGAGACCAAAAAGTCACGGATGAATGGCTTAAACCTGGGGACTATGTGAATGTAATTTTGCAGCTGCACTTTCAATGAAGGTGCATGAGAGATTATAACAAATGTATAGACGATATTCTGGACCTACTCCCATACAAAAGTTAAGATCCTGCAGTCAAAAACCTTGAAGACATAGATAGAATTAATCACTTTTTAAAAAAAATGGAAACTTGAACTGTCCTTGAAATGCTCAGATTGTGCAATATGTGGGAAAACTGGGAAATAACAAAGTCAAAACACAAAAGTCTGATGTTTTGTGTTGATCATTTAACCTAAACCCTTTAGCAAACGATGGCGCTGTCACTCACTTGTGGCGGCCGTGGCTCAGTTGGTAGAGTCGTCGCCTCTCAACCAGTTTGTCGAGGGTTTGATCCCCAGTTGAGCAACATGTCCGATGTGACCTTGGGAAAGACACCTAACCCTGCATTGCTCCTGCTGCTTCGGTGGCGGTGTATGAATGGGTTACGGTTGTACTTACTCTCTGATGTACGTCACTTTGGATGTAAACGTAAAATTGTAACTTACCAGATAAAATAAACTATCCTGCAGTACCATCTAGTGGTAAAGCATGTTCCTCCCACAAACTTGCTTCTAAATGTATTACAGCTGTAACAAGTCCTGTGGGGACTCATAGAGGACACTTCATGGACGATTTTAAAGTTTGGTCAAAGTAGAACTTAGAATTCTTGATATAACTGTACATGAATACTTTCTGATTGTATGTCCTGAGGCTACATGAGTATGTGTTATAAAGCATTTATTGATTCATGCTATTTAATATTGGAACTAGTCTCTTTTCATGTTGGCCCATTTCTCCTGCAAAATGTTAATGCAATAGCTGGCAGTTTTATATACTTTATTTTTTTTAATCAATTAATTTATTGAAAGTTCACATGTGAATCTTAAACCAACAACGTAGACAAACAGTAAAAAAAAAAAAACAACATGAACAGCTGTAACCAACTTCAAGCTTGATCCAAAAGCAACTGGACTGCTTCAAGATCATGTTTAATAATAGTTATCCATAGCGACAAATAATAGTTAGGGGCTACCAAGAATAGTTCATATGGTTTTATTTTTAAATGTTTTTCTTCTATATCATTTCAGAACACCAATGTGGAGGAACAATGACGGAAATAATAGATTTATTTGCTTTAAAATGTCAGTGAGGCCACGTTGTTGTGATTAATTTAAATTTTGCAAGAATGATCATGCATTGATACATCATAATATCTTATAAACTCAAGAATGTAATAAGCCCCTGAAAAGGTAAAGTTCAGGATGAATGTATGTATTCACTGCTGACTTATTATGTTTCATCTCAGAGTGTCTTACACTAACATTTACCCGATCCTAGCTTCTCCTATGTCCAATTAACTTCAGGTTCAGGTAACCCTCATTCATGTCTTAAGCGCCACCATGAGGAGTCATGAAGTAGTGACGCTGTGAGTCAAATCGGAAAGGGACATTTGATTAAGCGTCTTATTTTTTGCTATTAGAATTTCAATATTTGAAACTAGCAATTTGATAATTGTATAGCACGGGTCAGAACGATGATATAGTGCCATATATTGATGGTTTGTCCCACTTGACGTCTCAATCTTTTTTTGACCATCAGCAAAAGAGTCATGACTCAATAATATCAAAAGCACATTCATGTTAGTTTTTACTGAGTCGTGATTTCCCACCAGAA